CAAACCAGTCATTTTGAAAGAGAAGGAGAGAATGTCAAAGAGAGAAAGATTTATATCCATTTGTTCTTGAGATTAAAAAATGGTATGACATTGTATCCAAAGTAGCACTGTATTGAAGAATATTATTTAAAACAAGGGATAGTTGTGCATAAAATAAAAATATAATCAATTAATATTATGCCATTTATAAAATGGGATGAAATTCTATGTGGCTTCACCATATAAAATTGTTTTATGGTAAAATGGGCTGAATGCTTACTGCCATTATGGGCTCATTGAATTGTAATACTTGACAAAACATTTTTCTGAGTCAACACTGGCCTCAATAGAACACTTCCCTTGTGGGTTCTTGGATATAGAATAAACCTGCAATGCCCGCCAGCATGTGGAAAGATTTGGTTAATGGAGTTAACATGTTTGCTGTGGGATGGGTCTTGTATGGGTTGTCCACCTGAGAAGACATCAGACTTTTCAAAACAAGTCCTGTTAGTGACAAAGCAACTTTAAGCCTTTATTTCAAGAATATTAACATTAGCCTGATCTGTATTTTGTAGGCCTTGTAAGCCTGCTCTGTGTATTGTGTAAGCCTGATCTGTATTTTGGAGGCCTTGTAAGACTGATCTGTGTATTGTGTAGGCCTTGTAAGCCTGATTTGTATTTCCTAGGCTTTGTAAGCCTGATCTGTGTATTTTGTAGGCCTTGTAAGCCTGATCTGTATTTCCTAGGCTTTGTAAGCCTAATATGTGTATTTTGTAGGCCTTGTAAGCCTGATCTGTATTTTCTAGGCTTTGTAAGCCTGATCGGTGTATTGTGTAGGCCTTATAAGCCTGATCTGTGTATTTTGTAGGCCTTGTAAGCCTGATCTGTATTTCCTAAGCCTGATCTGTGTATTTTGGAGGCCTTATATGCCTGATCTGTGTATTTTGTAGGCCTGTAAGCCTGATCTGTATTTCCTAGGCTTTGTAAGCCTAATATGTGTATTTTGGAGGCCTTGTAAGCCTGATCTGTATTTCCAAGGGTTTGTAAGCCTGATCTGTGTATTTTGTAAGCCTTATAAGCCTGATCTGTGTATTTTGTAGGCCTTGTAAGCCTGATCTGTATTTCCTAGGCTTTATAAGTCTAATCTGTGTATTTTGTAGGCCTTGTAAGCCTGATCTGTATTTCCTAGGCTTTGTAAGCCTAATCTGTGTATTTTGTAGGCCTTATAAGCCTGATCTGTATTTCCTAGGCTTTGTAAGCCTAATCTGTGTATTTTGTAGGCCTTATAAGCCTGATCTGTATTTCCTAGACTTTGTAAGCCTAATCTGTGTATTTTGTAGGCCTTGTAAGCCTGATCTATATTTTGTAAGTCTTGTAAGCCTAATATGTGTATTTTGTAGGCCTTATAAGCTTGCTATGTATTTTGTAGGTCTTGCAAGCCTGGTCTGTGTATTTTGTAGACCTTGTAAGTCTGATCTGTATTTTGTAGGCCTTGCAAGCCTGATCTGTGTTTTGTAGGCCTGGTAAGCCTGATCTGTATTTCCTAGGCTTTGTAAGTCTAATCTGTGTATTTTGTAGGCCTTGTAAGCCTGATCTGTATTTCCTAGGCTTTGTAAGCCTAATCTGTGTATTTTGTAGGCCTTATAAGCCTGATCTGTATTTCCTAGGCTTTGTAAGCCTAATCTGTGTATTTTGTAGGCCTTATAAGCCTGATCTGTATTTCCTAGGCTTTGTAAGCCTAATCTGTGTATTTTGTAGGCCTTGTAAGCCTGATCTGTATTTTGTAAGTCTTGTAAGCCTAATATATGTATTTTGTAGGCCTTATAAGCTTGCTATGTATTCTGTAGGCCTTGTAAGCCTAATCTGTATATTTTGTAGGCCTTGTAAGTCTGATCTGTATTTTGTAGGCCTTGCAAGCCTGATCTGTGTTTTGTAGGCCTTGTAAGCCTGATCTGAATTTTGTAGACCTGGTAAGTCTAATCTGAATTTTGTAGACCTTGCAAGCCTGATCTGTATTTTGTAAACCTTTTTGGAGAATTTTGCAACATCATTACCTTTTATCTGTTATTTCATGGTGCATGTTTATTTTGTGTCACAGGAGGTCTCCCTGAAGACTTTGGCAAGGTTGTCAAAGCTAGCATTTAATCAACACTATTTACAACCAGAGTTGTGCTGATGTTCATGCATGCATTTATCCTCCATACATACATCTATCCAACCATACATACATCTATCCATCCATACATCCATCTATCCATCCATACATACATCTATCCATCCATACATACATCTATCCATCCATACATACATACATACTCTCAAACCAACCTGAACCTAAACCATACAACATTGCAAGAACAGTCAGATCAAAGTGTCATGATCAATCAAACTGTAATAGTGGGAAATGTAATTGATTGATGTGTCAATTGCCTGTCCAACAATTAAACTAGATTGTGGTCAAATAAGAACCAAATGATCTGTTCCTGATGAGTGCTCTAAAGTGGTAAAATAGAGAATGACAAGCTAATGAGTGATTTATAGATCAGAGAGACCTGCATGTCCTAAAAATGTTTTCCCCTTCCTGGAATGTAACAAAAGATGTGAAAAAAACCCAATAGAATGAGTATATAGATAAGGGACAGTGATAGCCACCATGGTAAATCAGCACAAAATTAAGTGAGTACAAAACTGATAAAGAGAAAATAATGGAATACAGTTAAATATGGAAAGAACTGTTCCTTAGATCTGTACATTTAATGTACACAGTATCCAATTTTGTCATACAATTGAATACAAATTGCTTCTTTCTTATGACCAAAAAAAGAATAAAAATCTGAATCTTCTAGAGATGATTGTGAAAATGAAATTGAATAAAATGTCACCTTGTTTAATGTTTTAATGAAATTTTATTATTACATGGCAATTCTGTGGAAAATGTCTATACAGAGATCAGATCTCCAAAATATTACAGCTAATCAATACTGGTCAAATAAAAGACACATGAATCGATACTGGTCAAATAAAATACACATAAATCAATACTGGTCAAATAAAATACACATAAATTGATACTGGTCAAATAAAATACACATGAATCGATACGGGTCAAATAAAATACACATGAATCGATACTGGTCAAAAAAAATACACACGAATCAATACTGGTCAAATAAAATACACACGAATTAATACTGGTCAAATAAAATACACATGAATCAATACTGATCAAATAAAATACACATGAATACATATGAATCAATACTGGGCAAGCATAAAATACACTCGTATTTCTTTCTTTTCAGATACAATAAATCCTGTATATTTTTAATATCCTTTTTGTTCTAATTAATGGAGTCTTAAAATCTTTGAGCTTACAGTCAAACTTGTTACATGCAGCCAGTTTAGTCCTTGCACTTTTTATTCCATTTTTTTCAGTTTCTGACAAGTTCTTTTACATCATGAGTATGATCATAAATGTGTTGATTTGTAAACCACCAGCACAGAGGAACTTTTAACTTTATTGTGACAGTAAGCAGAGATGGTGTAGTGAAGAAAAGAATGGGAAATATTATTTAAACTTAAGGACTGATATACTTTTGGATGAAAACTTTATATAAATTATAGAAGTAAAGAATACTATTTATATACATATACTTTCTTTTAAATTTCATTTTTTTGTGTGTGTTTTGGACAATATGTATGTTTTTGAAAATATTTCATGACAATACTGTGTTTCCCTGCTGCTATAAAAGATTTCTTTCTTGGAAGAGAACTGAATACCACTAAACACATAAACAGAAGGAGACCAGTCTGTCCTCAATTTGGAGTTATTTAAGGCTGGTATTTCTAAAATAGCTGGTTAAGTGATTGTTTATTCTGGAAGGACAAATTTACTTAGTACTTACCTGTCTGGAAAAGTGTATTTGTATAGATTTGTCAATCCTGGCCTAGAAATGTGTTTATGGAACACATGTACCCCACTAAAGTGCCTGAAATGACCTAGCTGTGAAATAAAACCAGAGTGGACAAGATAAACACATTTTTGCACACAAATATTGTCTTTGTGGGTCAAACAAACAAGAATAGTGTTCTTAAAGGAATTTTAACTAACACTGGGTTCTTAAAGGAATTTTAACTAACACTGGGTTTGTTAGTTTTAACAACACTTTCAATACATTACTGGCTTTATCATACAGAGGAAATGAAGCAAAGCATCTTTCCCATGGACAGTCACCAAGGCAACTGACCCTGACTGGTCTGAGCAGGATTTGAACTTGTGACCCTTAATAATAATAATAATAATAATAATAATAATAATAATAATAATAATAATAATAATAATAATAATAATAATAATAATAATAATAATATTAAAAACTTTATTTACAGAAGGTAATTCAACTAGTTATGGAATTAATCTACCTTGAGGCCTTTTATCTGTTATGTACAATATATACAGTATATATATATATATATATATATATATATATATATATATATATATATATATATATATATATATATATATATATATATATATACAACATGATGTGAAGAATCTAGCTTGACACTAAATAATTATGATTTTAAAACACATGCACAGGTATCTGTGAACACATAAACATATATAAAATAAGAAATATCATCCTGCATTGAAAAATTCAACTGTGAAAATGATGCAAGAAAAGCAGGCTGTATTTTTGGTACTAGAAATGTTCAATTGTCTAAAGAGAGAGTGTGTGTGTGTGTGTGTGTGTGTGTGTGTGTGTGTGTGTGTGTGTGTGTGTGTGTGTGTGTGTGTGTGATTTAGATTTTTAATGTAGCTTGAACAATTTTTCAGTCATATTGCTACAATGTCTGCAGTGTGACATTTTATAATGTTGTTTAGCACTATGGCATCATGCGAAGACATGTAGCATGATGTCCGACCCAAGCACGAGGCCAACCAATCCTAACACTAACCTCTTAAAGTTGAGCACCAGGTGAGGCAGCTGTCAGTACCATTTTAAAAAGTCTTTGGCATGACTTGGCCAGGGTTCGAACCTGTGACCTCCCTCATCTGAGGCAGACGCTCTACCACTAGGCCATAAATTTGGTCAATTATCTATAGATTTGATCCATTTGATTACAAAAAAGAAGAAATGCCATGAGCCTTTCTTATCTCACTGGGAATGTTGTTCCATACCAGTGGACCAGTATATAGAAAACATTTTTTAAAAACAATTCCTTATCTGACCTTGGTATAATGTAATTTTTGCTTCTTTTGGACCTTAAATTTGGAGTACCATCAGCATCTCTTTGGTGAAAGATATTGCTTAGATAGACAGGAATGGCTTTTCTGGATACATTATACATCAATTTGGCCTTTCTAAGAAATATTCTTTCATGTATTGTTAAAATCTTTATATTATTCACTGCAGCCTGGAAATTGTCTATACATTGATCTAGAATTAAATGGCAGGTCCTCTTTTTGACCTTTGAATTTGAATTAACATTGCTACTAATTGTGTTAACCATTGTGGCTGGCTAAAGTAATTAATGTAGGGTATTCACTATATATATATATATATATATATATATATATATATATATATATATATATATATATATATATATATATATATATATATATATATATATATATATGCACACTATCAAATAAAAATCATAAAATATAAGAAAACTACCATTAATGTAATCAAACTTGAAACCTATATTACTTACAATGAAACAGCAATCTCTCTGAAGAAATATCTGACATTCATTTAAAAAAAAATGAAGAATGAAAGGTATTTGATAATTCTGCTGACGTTTTGGATTATATTAACTCATGAATATATAATAATACCAATGTTAATCAATACTTGAACACAATTTTTCCAACAAAGAAACCTTGCACTGCATCATGATCTAAGCATACAATTCTATAAAAGTAACTTTCTCTTCAGCATAACTCTCAGACTATTGAGAGGAACAAAAAAATAATGGAAAATAAATTCTTCTCTACAGATATGTAAATACAAAATTAAACTCAAAATACTAGCTGATATAGAGTGACAACACTAACTACATCTTGCACATTCATGAACAGCCATATAAAACATAATGTCAAGGACACCATCCTATAAACTTCTGGTAACAGAGAACTGCACCTCTGTGTATATGAAGTAAAACCAGTGGTCCCTTACTTTCACCTGCAAACTTCCATGAAGAAATCTGATGGGTAAGTGAATGAAAACTAAGACCTGTAAACTTCCATGAAGAAATCTGATGGGTAAGTGAATGAAAACTAAGACCTGTAAACTTCCATGAAGAAATCTGATGGGTAAGTGAATGAAAACTAAGACAAAACATGTTTCCATGCACAAAAATTAAATATTTTAAGGACCAATGCATTCAAGATACTAATTTTATCCCTGCTCCATAATGATAAAAGCTGAATTTGTATTTTTTGTTTTACTGATGTGCTAGAAAGGGGAGGTAATGTCAGCAAAGACATAGAATATAAGACTCACTAACTTCCCTTTAAATAACAATCTTATTTGTAACCCAAATAATCACACACACACACACACACACACACACACACACACACAGACACACAGACACACACACATGGATCCAATGAAAAGTTTGCATCTCTAAAAAAAATAAATTGGAGGGCTCTGAGATTAGTTCTGCATTGCATATAAAATCTAATGATAATAATTTTTAGAGGTTTTAATTTGCAAGATTACTATCAATATATTTTAAAGGAAATTCCATTTGGTTTAATAATTAGTGGAGTTACCATAACCTATGATTCTGTTAGATATTTATATGGTTTATATCCTGGAACCAGTCCAAAGGTCATCAGTCATATATTACAATCAATTTAGAAAGCATCCTTGTACAAAACTGCATTTCATGTAACACAATATGACATCATTATGTAACACAATATATCATCATCTCTTGATGACAGAGCATGTTTCAACATTTCAATGTAAATTATAGTTTCCATGGTAATACATTATACAGATTATCTCTAGATGTCTTGGGTCATATATTATGTAACACTACTAGGTGAATGTGTCATTTCTCATTTGATTCTATGTTGCAAAATAAAGCTATATATATATATATATATATATATATATATATATATATATATATATATATATATATATACACATACTGGACTGGTATGTAATCAATAGTTTTCAAAATTTTATTATTGGTGAATTAGTATTGCTCTATATTAAAATGGATTTAATTTCAGTGTACATCAGATGACTGTTTCATGATCAATAAACAGACACCATGTTGATTTCAGGCTATGCAAGGGGAGTTACTCTGATATCATGGCAACATGGCATACAGAAAAAATATTTTTATGATGGCATATATTTGTCCTAATGTTGGGAACGTGATGTGCATGTTGCACAAAGTGTGAATGAACTTGAAAATTGGATGCTATTTCCATGGCAGTCATTATGTGCCATCCAGCAGATATGTATCAGAGAGAATGAAAGAAATGCATCTGTAACCACCTATGAGTAGTGCTGGGACTGTGGCTAAGAATGGACCACCAACATGAGCATGAAAGTACATGTTGACCTTAAACTGTTTAGACAATAAAAAGTAATAAAACATGTACAACAAAGTTAAAAGCTACCTGAAAACCACAACGGTCCATATTTCACATTTTGAATCCTATTTGCTACCATAGATTTCATCTCTTTGTTCTTGGCAAGTACAGTAATAATGTGATTTATTTTCTATACATGATATTCCGCATGTGGTCAAAAAACATTCACTACCGGTATATGGAATTATGACACTATACACTATATGGAATAATGACACTGTACACTATATGGAATATTGACACTACACTATATAGAATAATGACTGTACACTATATGGAATAATGACACTATATAGACTGGTGACACATGGAATAATGACACTGTACAGACTGGTGACACTATATGGAATAATGACACTGTACACTATATGGAATATTGACACTACACTATATAGAAAAATGACTGTACACTATATGGAATAATGACACTATATAGACTGGTGACACATGGAATAATGACACTGTACAGACTGGTGACACTATATGGAATTATGACACTGTACACTATATGGAATAATGACACTGTATAGACTGGTGACACCATATGGAATAATGACACTATATAGACTGGTGACACATGGAATAATGACACTGTACAGACTGGTGACACTATATGAAATAATGACACTGTACACTATATGGAATAATGACACTGTACAGACTGGTGACACTATACTAAATACAAACAGTAAAATAATCTGCAACAGACAGAATCAAGCATCAGCAACTAGTACTGGACCTTACAAATGGTGCCAAATGATGACTCCTCTATGAAATGTGTGTTCTTCCTTCAGAATTTAAGTGTACCAAGATCTTAAATATTGGAAAAGTAATATATTGTTGGTACTTATGGCTTTTCATGTTATCCAAATCCAGGAGAATACTGGTAAACAATCAATTTTACCTCATGTACATTTACTTCACAAACTTTTGCATGTATATTAACAAACTCAATATAGTATATATGTAAAAAAGTAAAATTTATGACATACATTAAAAATAAAGATCACTTTATTCGACAATCCCTGTTCTCACTGGCATTAGTATATGCATTCAGCGTTCTAATAAAAGCATCCCCAGTCATCATCTAATTATATATAAATGAATCAATACACTTAAAAACACATAAAGCAGTGGGCTAGTTTAACAAATGTTTCAGAAAGTCATGTGTGGGCTTATCATAACACAAAAGAAAATCATACATTATTAGATAAATTTGGTAATAGTTTTAAGTTCCCAATACCACAACAACAATTTTACTCAAAAAACAACCTTACATTAAGAATCCTGAGTAAAATACATTCAAATTTCAGGGAAATCAGGAATGTTCATACATGTGCACAATTAGAAAGTAAATAATTAAGTAATTATAAATAAGCCTTGTTTACTGATGGCTTTGTTTTATCAGCTATTTTGCCCACCACCAACAACAGTTCTAACAAGCAAAGCTGAGGCAAAGTAACTTTCTTAAGATTACTCTAATTGGCCTGTCAACACTCGATTCTTATCTGCAACAGAACTGGTAATCAACATGCAAAATGAAAAATTATTCCAACAGTCTCTCCAAAGGTTAATTTATTTTCAATAGTATTGAATACCTTTAAAAAAAAGAGTCATGTTTTAAAAAGGGATATATTTTTGGAGCAAATTGTTTTCATGAATTAAAAATTTATATATCTCAGTGACCATAATGGCAAAATATGAACAAGGGAAAACAACTGCAGAGATTTATTTTAAAGTCGAATCTCATTGAATATTATTTATATTTTGAAAGAGTTGTAAAATTAGCCGGATAAATGCTATACATTTCCTATCACTGTTTACATGGTGTCATTCAAAAGGCTTATCATGGACAAAATCATATTTTAAACTCAAGATTAAGATATCTGATTTTAACTAGACTGAAAGTGAATAAGGTGTACCTGACTGAGCAATTAATTACAATTTTTGACAATACCATATGACTGGAATGATGATACTGAAGGTTCAGTATAATTAAGCTGATGAGCAAACAAACGACCATAAGCACTGATGAAACAATTTAACCAACACTTTAAAATAAAACTGTTGATACTGATGTCTGAAGTAAAAAATGACTCTTAATGTAGGCTTGAAATAAATCCAAAAAATTCTTTGGTGGATATTGAAGAAAACAGATGCATTTATATATATATATATATATATATATATATATATATATATATATATATATATATATATATATATATATATATATATATATACACACACACATATATATATATATATATATGATGTACAGACAGACAAAAAGACAAAGGTTACACTATTAACCACCTTAATAGGACACTGTGTACACACAAGAAACAATGGTTATGCCATAGACCACTTCCAAAGAATAGTGTGTACAGACATAAGAACAGAGAATACTTTCACCTCAGACAATCTTTAGAATCCTAAATCAACAAACAGATAATGTTCCAAATGCAA